CACGTGCCTCGTCGCGCGACACTGGCTAAACTAGTAGTGCCGCCCGGAACCGTCGCTACTGCTGAAAATGGCAAAAATATTCTCCGGCGGCTGTGCGCACTTTCACCGAAGCCAGTGCACAAGTAAAAGTAAAGGCTGAAGGGAAAGAGGCCGAGGGGTATCTTGCGCTGAGTTGGCTGCTGCTGCCTAGTTGCAAGCTGCACCGAGAGAGAGAGAGAGACAGAGGGAGACCGAAGCAGAGTAAGAGCGAGAGATCAGAGAGAAAGAGATTGCCTAGTAGTATGTACTAGAGAAGGCAAAATTATACCGGTGGATTAATTAAAATGAAGCTGTAGAGCACAAGCGTCAAGAGCAATTAGGATGCTATTCCTACCGTTCCCACCCCCTATACCNCCCTCTTCCCCCTGTCTCTCCACACCTATTTCTGCACCACCTTTAAATATACGTATGCACGAGCCGATGTGCATGTGCACGTGTGTGTGCGTATAACCGATGCTGCATAAAGTAGTCGTCGTAGCACTACTCGTGGGGCCCACGGCGAGACACAAAAAAGCAGCAACGGCTGCTGCTCCTACTGCTGCTGCTGCTGCTTCGTAAGGGGGTGACATTTCGCTCAATTAAATCGGCTAATAAGAAGTTATTCGTAAATTGCACACTTTACTTATAATTTTCTTTCTCTTGCACTGCCTCGCTCTATCTCGTTACATTTTACTTCTATATCGTCCTCCTCCTTAAATATCTTAGCCGTCGAGGTCTACCATTATTTCTTAATTGTTTCTTCTTCGTCGCTTTGCATTATTATTAACGAGGATAGCAGTCCAAGTGCGCGCACGCAAAGTGCATTTTTCCCCAGCACTGAAAATTCATCGTTTGAAAAGACCCTTATTACCACGTTGAAAATAAAAACGAAACAGTTCAATATTTATTTATTTTTTGCAGATATTCGAGCGAGTAAATAAACAAACGAATAAACGAATGAAAGTCAATTTACGCTCGGTAATTGACGAGTTCCGCAGTTGCACGTGTATAGGTAGAGTTTCGCATCCAGCCGTTATTATTTACGAATATACTATCATCCAAGTTCGAATTTACTCCGGTAATCGAGTAGCTGGGCGCATAAAGCTGTATCTGCTACATGCATTATATGCATTCACGCAAATATAGCCAAATGGTATCAAATTTGCACATTTCCCCTAGTACAGTAAATTCGTTTAAGAAAAAAAATCAATCGTTGACATGAAAATACAATAAATTCGATACGAGAGAAAAAGACTAAGTAACAATTACAACTCGGTCAATCAATAATCTAATTATAGGGGAATAAATGTTGATGACTGTTGAAAATCGATCGCAGTAAGGGATATCCATCGTATTCAACAGAGATGACAATCGAAAAATTCATCATATCAAGTCGCTGTTTGAAAAAAAAAAAAATAATAATACAGCAAACGAAGACTCAATTGGATTGTCCAACAATTTTGTTTTAATATTCGATATTTCAAGGCGATTTTTTACCGAGACACGTGCCTGAGCTCAAGAAGTTGCAGTTAAACACAGCTATGCACCAATGGAAATAGTTTATTCATATGTATAAAAGAAGTGGAAAAAGTAAACGCTTTCAGCAGCTATCTATAGTAGATAGCAGCTATAGTAGATTATCTGCGATTAAACTCAAGTACGAATTTAAATCTGCTTTTTCATAATTCTAGATGTGAGCTATGCTTAGGAATAAACTACGTACAGATCATAAGAAGTATTTATTTCACATACTGCAGTACGCGTGCAGTATAAGTACACCAACGAGTGCGAATAGGCCCAATTTCAATAGAACAGTAAAGTCGATGAAAATTACATCGAGATGCGTCCGATTTTCAAAAAAAAAATGTTGTTAAATTTACAACGTAAGTCAAGTTCAAAAATGACGGAAAGTTTCGTACATAATGAACAAGGAAGAGGCAAAAAAGCTAGTTTCTATATCTGCTATCAGTGCTAAAGTCATAGCTAGCCCGACAGTATATAATATCGTAATCACCATTATATTGGCAATTATTTGTTAGGTCGTAATATTGGTCTCTCACGATAACCAACTGCATAATTGCATAGAAAGCATTCCTACGATCAAATAACACGCGGGCGCGAGAACGAGCCACGTAAACATACATTACCAATGTATGTATATATATGAAGACAATTATAAGCCACATCGTAGCGTGCATTTGCAAAACGAACGTCAAATTATCAAAATTCCACTGTGCACTGTGTATTACACAACTAGATATTACCTATCGTTGCGTGTACATATATGTATAGGTACCTATACATACACGTCTACGCGTATTGTGTAAACGAACCATTTGAAACAATCGACGCGAGTCGCATTAGATCTCGGACAATTTTCTACATGGACTGGATCGTTTCGATTAATGTGAAACTTTCGTTTAGCGAGTGTCTTTTTGTACATTTAATTGTTATTGCTCTTTGAAGATGACTTGATTAATTAGTATAGATCAGAAGATGAGGTGCTAACATTGTACATCGATGAAATATTAATTTTCATTAAAATGGACTTAATGACTCTGTGGCGAAAGTACATTAGTATTATTCATGAATCTTTTCCATTAAGCTCAACAAGCGTATCGACCTTCAAAAAGCTCTCGGCAAACAATTTTTTTTCCCGCGAAAATTCTGTAAACGCCTCATCTAATATTGACGATCGTGTTTAATATACATGTTACGCGCTATATCTGCAGGCCAACGTGAAATTTTATTATTCTTTGACGGCAATCTAGACATGCTTTCGATGCGAGGGCGGAGGGCTGCATTTTTTATCGGCGCATCGGCTTTTAAAGTCCCGAAAAGTTCACGAATTGGCACTTTTTCTTTACGAAAATGTATTTAGCTCAGCGACGGATGAACGAATAGTCCAAAAATCCAGTTTGAATATCCGATGTACTTGGCGAGAAAGAGTTCAGGTTGCGAGCAACGTGGACGTATCTAAATAGTCGATCCAGAGCAGTGTTTGGGATTGAAAAAGCCGCGCGCATCTCCACACGAAAGTGCAATTGAGAAATTCTTTGAGCTCGAGTCTACCGAGTGAGGGGGGGTGCTGACGCGACCCTTGATGTCTACATAAAAGTATATGCACAGCCTCGTCAAGTTTTCTAATGAAACAACTTTTTAATTCGCAGTCTCGCACTCATCAGCGTCAAACAGAGGAAACAACATTAATATTACACTATACGGGGGCGGCATGAGCTTTCGTGGCTCGTGCTCCATAGGATCTCTTTTGCGATCCAGTGCTGCATAAATTGTACGAGTCGCGTTAGGCTGCATATACATGTATGCAATTCTACGATTCCGCGGGGAAATACGAAATCGTGTATATCTTTTTTTTCTCGAGGGTACGTCTAATATATATTCTGCTTATGGTAGAAAAAAACAGCAGAAAATCATCAGAATCGAGGCAAGTTCTAATGAAACAACTTTTGTATTTCGTTGGCGCGAGCAGTATCGAGCTTTTAGGGATGATTTGTGGACGGATTTTTCTCTACGTACGCGTTCATTTCCCAAAAGACTGAAAAATGCAGCCTCTGAGGCAGAGATAGCGTGCGCGAGCTAACGGCATGTACGTATGGGTGTGTGTGCAAGTGTAAATGTGTTTGTATGTATGTGTGAGCCACAGTAGCCACTTTGTTGTTCTCTCAGTTCGAAGAGCAGTGGGTGTTACCAACGGGTGTGAAATATGCACTGCGCTGCTACTGCATTATTATTTCTTTTGAAGCCATCTGTTATGATTTTTTCCTCTCTCTCTCTTTCTCGCAGCCGAATGACGCGTTATGATGCGCGAACAATGACGTCGAGTACTGCGTGTATGTAACACTAAAGTTTATTCGAGGGGTGTCAAAAATTATATTACTATATTTTACGGGCGCTCGAACCTGCCGACCTGAACGACTCGAGCGCGTATTTATTGAGCTACTATGTATACACTGGCTTACAATGCGTTAAAAAATATTTAATAGAGAGAGGAGAGAGAGAGAGAGAGAGAGAATGAAAGAGCGAGTTGCGTTTGCTCGGGGCGCCACGACAGATGAAATGATAAAACGCGAGCGAGGTGATAATAATCTCTGTCTCTGTTATACGCGACTCATTTCCAAGTCAAATAAAATCGAAAACTCGAGACAATTTTATAATTATAAACAAACCCTTAAAAATTCTTAAGCAAACGAAGCAAGGCCAACGTCTCGTCTCTTCTCTTTCGTATTTCTTAAATAATCGAGCGGAAAATTTATCTTCATTGTCGAGCGAATAACGGTGGCAGCGGCTCGAGTCTTGCAAGATGGAAAATCGTCGCGATCTCGTTAGCACTTGCTTCAAATGCTCTATCAATCCAATTCTGCGCAGCAAATAATCCCTGCCCCCCTCCCTCTTGCTCGGCCCGTCTCTTAATACCAAGAAGCGAGGCTGAGATCGAACGATAACTCAAACATCGCCACCCTCGGAGAGGACCAGGACACGCAGCGAGCGATAAAACGAATCAATCGGCTTACGAGTAATTAAAAAAGGTCCCCAGCGATTCTTGTAAATTATACGTGTAACGTTCGAGGCGTTTCGCCGCGACAGCCATGTTCGGATATGATGCGCGAGAGGCCATTCGAAGGCTTCCCGACGAGAGATGAATCTCGCACTGCAGTGCATCGCGCGAGTTTCAGTTTCTGGCCTCTACTAGACTATAGACCTACACAGCAGAAGCAGAAGCAAACTCACGCAGGTATTAAAACTACCCCGTGCTAGCGCCCGCGCGCGTGTGTGTGTGTGTGTGTGTATATACCTATAATACAACGTGAAAATGTATATCTGTAGACTGAGCGTCATCCCCTCCTCGTGAAAGTCTGTACTAGCGGCGGCGGCGGTGGCGGCGGCGGCTCTTGGCTCGGGCCAAGCTAGCGCGGAGCCGGCGAAACCGCCGCCGAGTCAGTCGTTCGCGCGCGAGCACTTGTCCAACTACCCGTACGTGCCGACACGCTGCGTACGATCTCGTGTTACGAGTGCATGTGCCGAGCTCGCTGCTGTTGTTGTGCATAACAGTTTATGGCCCTATTGACGTTTTGCGCCTTGTCCTGCGCTGATTTTACCCACAGCAACCAATCGAAGCGAGCGTTGGCGACTGACTCAGCGCGCGCATCGTGTTTTTCAAGAAAAAACATCGACGGATTTTCCAGTGAATCGTTCATTCGTTTCATCGTGTTCGATAAGTGACAGTCGGGGACTACTATGTGCGAGTGATTGTTTTTATACATGGAATAACGTAGCTGGTGCAAGGCTAGCCGTTTATTGTTACTACGCCAACGAAAAGTCGTGCTGTAGCATATTTGAAAAATCGAACGCGTGCCGAGGCTTGCGACGAATCGGTCGACGCTGCTCGCAAAAGAAGATCGGCACAGCCTGTGTATGTGTGTGCGTGCGGACTCGCGAATGGAGACTTGAATGCCTGTGTGTGGTCCAGTCCAGAGCTCTTCTGCTGCCGCTGCTGCCGGCGGTCTCTCTCTCTCTCTCTCTCTCTCACTCAATCGCGCTCGCCAAGGTTAATGCGCTTTGCTCGCCAGGCACTTCTTGCAAAAATATAGGATTCGCCCCCTAACCAATGTCGACGAGACAAGACGTGCACATGACGTTCTTTAATGATAATGATGTCGTCGTTACCTGCTGATGTTGCCGCTGTCTCGACGTATCGTCGCGATTCTGGCAGGCACTGCTGCTCTCCTCGTCGCTAACCACTCAAGTTGCAGGCATTGGTGCGGGTCTTGCGTCTCATCTCTTCGCTAGTGTTGATTGTATTCCACAATAAGTTGCCGTTGATTCAGTTCTTCTAATTGTTCTTGTTTGTTGCTGCAGTTTTTGCAGCTGATGTTGTTCTTGTTATTATTGTGACGGTGTTTAAAGTGCCAACTGTGAGGTGTTTTCGAAGGAAAAAAAATTAAGTAAATGAATAATCAGTCGATGAGCAATAGGTTATAAGTAAATACAAAGTTTTGAGACGGCCTGCGAATGATAATTGTTGGTAGAGATTCGCTAGCTTCCACGACGACGCCGACTACCAGCGAAAGCACAACGGAAGGAGGATGTAGCTCGAGGGGAGACTGTAAGAAGCAGCTCCCTTCAACCCCCGTCGATACGGCAACTGCAGTATGGATGACTCTAGTGTAAGTACCTCTATACGTTCATTATATCTGTATTGAATGTTTTGTCGACAACAACAAACCATCATGACTGTGTAGATATTGCGATGCGCGTCCGACCGTCGCGATCGGCTTTGTTTTGTTTTGTTTTTTTTGTCTATCCTCTAAAGCTTAATCGCGGATTTTTCATGCCGCGACCGGTTTCTCTTGTACTTTACGCGCTCTTTTTGCTTATCTATATTTTTCTTTTTAATATTTTTTTGTCGACTTTTAGTTTGCACTGTAGCCAAGGTGCAAGTTACATACGCGAGTGCGCGCGCGAGAGAAAGAGGGATGATAATTGCAGACCGTATGTATGTATACGACGGTATACAGCGTATACTCGTTGTGCAGTTCAAGCTTGTAGATATTATATAGATGCACACAGGCGTACGTTTAAATGCGTGTGGGGCAATTATAGGTATTGGAAAAAAAGATTATCGTAAATCATAGTGGACGTCGATGAGCATATACACGTGCGTATGTGTAGGCATGGCAGTGCGCTGCAAAGTTATCTATGTATATATGTGAATGTACATGAGCGGTGCACGCGGGGCGACACGCGTTTTAGCATATTGCAGGCGAGCCGCACTGCACACGGCGTGTTTCGAGCTACTATATACACCTAGAGCGGTAATTTCGATCGGTGTATACAGTATATAGTGGTATAGTGGTACTGTGCTCTCGGGCTTATTTACTATCTCGCTGCACGAGAGACCGTTCGACGTGTCTCTGCTGTGTGTGTGCGAGTGTGTGTGCGTGCGTATAATATGCGAGTTTGTGTGCGTGCATTATTCAATACTTACACACGTACATCGTCATTTACTATAACGTATACACGGCCACGAAGAGGTTCGTATCGGTAAAAAGCCAACAATGAGTTATTATAAACAGCGGCCTTATACTTACGAGTGTGTGTGTCTATCGCGTGCTCGACACTAATATGCCCGCTCGGCGAGTCCTCCGCCCACTGCTCTAGGTACACTACGATTCGCTGCTGTATCCAGTACAACAGAAGAATCACGTTGCAAATAGACTTAGGTAGGACATACTTGGACTCGCATGTGTACTCGGGAGGCGAGCGGCACATTTTTACCCATTAGCGCGCGAGCGTCGCGTTGCACAAAGCGGTAGTGAGAGCATTCGCGTACGAGCTAGATTATATACGTACGGAGCAGACAAAGCAAGCAGCAAGCGATACGGAAAAGATTGAGTTGTGTTAGCGATTAGCCGCGCTTTCTGCCACTCTTGCTTAGTATATACTTATACGTTATACGAAGGACAACGAGCAAAACGACTATATACGAGAATCAAGACGAACACGAGGAGGAGGAAGAGGAGGAGAACGAGATTTAATGTAGTGTGCGTTACAGCATCTCCCAACACAATAGCAAAAGAAATTCACTGCTTAGCTTTACCTCTTGGCTGCAGTTCGTGTGTGTGTGTGTGTGTACTCGTTGTATATCCATACGTCTATACGTGTATGTATCTGAGGTGCATCGTAGAGTCTTGCGGCGTGACGAAAGTTTGCCTTACCTTTTATCATGCCATTGCTGCCGTACCTTCCTTGCTCGCTTACACGTGAATATATTCGTACACATGGAGATGGTATTTCCTTGCTCCCTTATTAGTTCGTTCTTGATGCTACTGCCGCTCTGTTGCTCCGCTGCAGTTGGACAACAATGCCGTAGCCAATTGCATACACACGCGTACACACACTATCCAAGTCTCGCTAGTCGCTTTTCTCGTCCTACCTGTGTGTGTATGCGTGTGCGTCTATGCTTTTACGTATATGCATGATAATAATATAAATCTTCGTTTGAGCGCGTATTCAGTCATGTGCGCTCGAGCATTTGGGCCTATTTGTGCGACAAAATGTGCCATTCTCACTTTGCCTCGAGATTATACATAACCGCATACATGCACAAAGTCCCTTATTCATACAATACGATATGCGCATCTGCATCTTGGTCCTTTTTACGCCTCCGTACTCGTATTCATATCTATCCTACTTTGTACAGTATTTGATAATACTATGCCCTAAGCTTTACAGTATATAAGAAGAGAAGTATATTTCGGATGTGTGTGTATTGGTAGTCGTCTGCGAGCGATATTCAAAGGACGCGTCAGATATGCTGCGCAAAGCAGTTCTCGGCTCGCTTCTTGTGCATATGCGCTTGCTCTATATATACTCGGCATGAATGTGCAGTATATGCAATTCTGCTCTATTATGCACATCGAGAGCAAGCCGTGTCAATTGTTGGCGCGAAACCGACTTTTTTTGCTCTCTCTCTTTCTCTCTCTTTACTCTCACTCTTGCCTACTCATTTTTTTCTTTCTTTCTCTCGAGTGTAGTAATGTTCCTCCACAACCTTCTTCGCTTAGCGCGCACACACACCGTGCCGCAAAGAAAACAGTCAACGAATGTTTTTTATCGGTCTCCAGGAACCTCGAGGCTGCCTCTCGCTCGCACTTCCTCGTTTTATATGTACACATTATACCATAGTGTTTGTCAAGCTTATACATATAAGAGGCCGAGAGCCCACAGTCGATGGATACGTTCGCTCTCGCCCTTTTGAGCTTTCCGCGTCTCTCTCGCGTGCTAATTGCGTCTCTCTCTCTACTTCTTGATGCTTCGCGTTTTGGCTTTTACGACGAACACACGAGCATACGTATAGTGCTAATAGGCGCACCAATGGACATGGCTTTGTTGGCCGTAGCAAGAATATACGTATGCGTGAAAAAATATACACCTCTTGTAACTCGATGTTTATGCATATAAAATATAAAATATACCGTTCCGACGCTTCTTTTGTGCTAACATTTCGCTCCATTAGCGGCTTTATTCTTCCTTGCTTATCTAACATTTCGCCTCCACTGTCGTCTTTTTGCCTACCAAAGATATATGTAGCTGTTCTATTTACTAAAAACGGCCGCCGTTTGCAAAACTCTATATCCTAGACGAATAGTCGACTTTTGCATTTGAATCTTCATTTTTACAAACGTCAGGCTAGATGTGAAAACATCCCTGATACATACAGTGCGAAAGCGCCAAACTATCGACTTTCTCGCGACTTTTTTTCGTTTGACTGTCGTCGAGCTGCGCATCAAACGACAGGAGCGGACAGTGACGGAAGACTCGATTAAAAAAGTGGCTTCGAGAGTGCAAATTACGTCGCTGACGCCCTGTACTGGTCGGGCGGGTCGCGCACGGTATACACACGAAAAATTCATTGCGCCGCTCGCAGTCCTTTTTTTCATTGTTTTGCGTCCTTGCGCAGGCGCGTCGCTTGTAATCAAGTGCGGTGCGCAAAATAATGCAAAGCGTCGAACAAATCAAAACTCTTCTCTCTTATTTCGCTTTCTTAAAGTGAAAGTTTTACGTGTGCATCGAAATTCCAAGGCTGCAATCGTCAACTTTTAACTGCGAAGAAAGAGTAAAAAGTTGCAGCTCACGATTGTAGAAAATGCAAATTTAATTACGAGATGTCGAGCAAATACCGGGAGGCTGTGTTGTGGTCCGATATATTTGGCGACATTGGGTCGTTTGCTGGGCTCGGTGTATGTATTTTAAGTAGGTGCCGGTACCGGTCTCTTCCGCCGCTTCAAAGCCGTATAATGCTTGAGCATGCAGCGTTATATATTCATCGTTCTCGCGCATCCTCGTTGTTTTTCGCTGACTGAAGCCTAACGTCTCTATATATGAGCATAGCCTCGGCTTGTGTGTTTGCGTCGAGTGTATTATATTGCTTAGTTCAGTTATGTGCAGTCGCATATCCTCAATTAAATTTTCGAGACCCTACCTACGCTGCGTGGCACGCACGTTTAGACCGATTGAGCCTCTTTATACGTATTATATCTTCCGTCGGCAATTTTCCTTTTACGCCGTGACTGATATCCTTCGTTTCGTATAAATTTCTCGCTCTCTTTCGAGACAAATAATGCGAAATTAACTCGAGTGCAATTTTGCGGTTATATACGCGTCATGCGAACGACTCGCTCAAGCTTCTTTTTTCTCCTTTTTCCTTATTTTTTAATTTCACCTCGCTTGAAATATATACGTGTGTACACGGTTATGAATTTGTGTATGTGTGTGTGGGTGAGTGCACTGCATGTATATAATAATTGATGTAATTTTGAACATCGTTACGAAAGCAGCAGAAGCGGCGGTGGCGGTGGCGTGGCAGCGAGCAGCAATCGAGAAGAAGGAGACTCGAGTACAGAAGAGTGGATTGATGAAATCTCTCTACGGGTGCAGGCGGTAGCAGAATAGCTGCAGCAGCAGCCGCAGTGCTGGGGCTGCTTTTTTCATTATATACGGTTTCTCATCCGATTTATAGCTTCAATACAAACGTACATGCCAGAAATTTGTTTAATATCGCATCAAAACGGGCCTTTTTGTTTCTCCTAGCCTCCATCTGCGTGGCTTCGCTCGTGCCCTGGTTTTTAAACATTTTCTGCACGTGTAGCCATGCTGTGTACGTATAATATATTTCTATTTAACTATTCGAAGAGTTGATGCATATTATATGGCCTCAACTATACTAACCAAGTCGATCGTTATAAAAGTTGGTTGGCGGTTCGTTCGATCCGATGCCGGTCCGTTGCCTGTATAACGTTTCTGGACAGCTATAAAAGAAAAAAAGTTACAAACATTGGCACCTAAAAGCGCATATATACCTATATATATGTATACGCACACTATCGAACAGTTCCCACGCAGGACGACACGTTGAGCCGTTGGAGTCGATAAAAGTTTGAATTTGATGAGAAAATATATACTTTTTCTCTTTTCCCCTCGGCTCGTAAAGGTTGCCGGCATGATGGATGCAGGGACGACGTTGACATTCGAGCTCTATTTGCGTTTAATGTGTTCACCAATCAGTCAAGTCTAGTTATTATACTACTGATATATGAGGCAGATAAGATTTTCACGACTATTCGTCAGAGAAAACATAAGCGTATTTATGTGAAACACATATTAA